ATTAAATATTTATTTTTTAAAATTATTTAATTTAATAAATTATTATAAATTAATCTAATTATGATTAAATTAAATTATTAAATAAAAAATATTTTATTTTTTAATTAGGTGAATAATTAAATTATATTATATAATTTTACCGACGAATATATCCGTCGGTAAATAATTGTTAATTTACCGACGAAAATATCCGTCGGTAAATAATTGTTAACTTACAGATGAATTTACCGAACGGATATATCCATCAGTAATTAATTGTTAATTTATCGATAGATTTACTGACGGATATATTCGTCGGTAAATTCATCTATAAATTACCGACGGATTTATCGACGGATATATCCGTCGATAACTAATTATTATTTTACCAATGTATATGTCCGTCGGTAACATCAAATTCCACAAATATTTTATATCCGGTCGGTAATTTCCGTCGATAATGATTATTTTTCGATCAGCTACAAATCTGTCAAGTAAATATCCGATTCAGTAATACGCGGTTTTTTTGTATATATATATATATATATATATATATATATATATATAAATTTTAAATTAATAAAAATATCTTTCTTTTTTCAACTACTCTCTCCCTCCAGACAATTTTAATCTTATTAAAACAATTCAAGTGGATTATAATATTATTATATTTTAATTAAAATAATAATTATTTTTCTAATTTATTCTAGTTTTTTTAATCTCAATAAATAATGTATTTATTATTAAATATTCAAAAAATAAATCCTTTAAAAGTGTAGATTTTTAAATTAAAAATTATCATAGATAAAATTTGTGACAATTAAAATAATAATTAGATAAATCAAAATTTATTTATAAAAATGTTTTTAAAGATGAATATTTATTTTCAAAAGGAAAAAATAAATTGCTGACTACTGACATAATATATATATATATATATATATATATATATATATATATATATATATTTTAATTGTTACAAACTTTACACGATTATTTATTCTAGTTTGACAATTAAAAATTAAAAAAATTCAATATTATTTAATTATTTATAATTGATGGGAGATTTGAAAAAAATACTAAAAATAATTTAAATATTATTTTTTAATTATTTTATTGTCCAGTCAAAATTTCAACTATTATTTATAAATTAATTTTTAATAATTTTATAATTAATAACTAACATTACCTATTTTATTTAAAATTATCTTGTAAATCATGATAATAATAACAATTTTACCACTATAATAAAATTAAATTTTTTTATTTGTTTTGATAATAATAAGTTTGTTTAAATATATAGAATCCAATCTGATAAAGTATTTATTTAAATATAATTTAATGTCAACTAAAATACAACTAAATATTATTCTAAAAATTTTATACTGATAGAATTCATCACACATTATTATATAATATATTTTAAAAAATATAATGTTAATAAATCTACGCAAATTTTAATAAATATATATCAAGCTTATTACATTATATATAACTAAAAAAAATGCATGAAAATTACAATAAAGATCTTATGATTTCATATTTCATAATTTTTTGTAACATCAATATGTAATTTTTTTAAAATACAATATATTAAATTATAATATTTTAAATAATTTTATAATAAATGAGATATTTATATAAAAAATAAAAATAAAAGTATTATTATTGTTAAACTATAGAAAAATAAATTAATAATTTGAATTTATTTTTTAAAAATAATTACGAATTATTAAAATAAAATTTGTTAATTAATTATTGAGTATTTTAAAAAAATGTATTATTAAGATATTAAAAAATTAAAAGAAAGAAATGATTCATTATCTCTTAAAGAGATAATCTTGGTTAAAAAAACCAGACTTGCATTTAAGGCAAGTGAAAAAAAAGGTGCAATTTTTTTGGATAAGCATAAAAAGAGAGAGGGAGAATGAGAAAGATAAGGAAAAAGAAGAGAATGAAAAAAAAAAAAAGTATAAGGCATATGGTACTAGATGAAATATTTATCATTGTCTTTTTTATTTTTTAAGTATAGTTTTTGAGTAAGATGTTTTTAACTTTCTTTTATTTTTTTTATATTTATTTTATTTTTAATTATGTATTGGTCATATTTTATATTTATTTTATTTATCTTTAATTATGTACTTATCTTATTTTATATTTATTTTATTTATCTTTAGTTATACAGTTATCTTGTTTTATATTTATTTATTTATTTTCATTTATGCATTGATATTGTTTCATATTTATTTTATTTTTCTTAATTATGCATTAATTTTATTTTACATTTATTTTATTTATTTTCAGTTATGCATTGATTTTATTTTATATTTATTTTATCTATTTCCAGTTACCTATTGGTCTTAGCTTATATTTATTAATTTATAGATGGTTACCCACGAGTTCTATTTCTTTTATCCTCAGTTATGCACGAGTCATTGTTTATTAATTTATATTTAGATTATTTAATTATTTTTTTAAAATAATAATATTTATTTATGAAGATTTGATGATATTGTAGATGAAATTTGGACCTTAGGGATTAAAATAAGTAAATATTACTTAGAATAATTAAAATTGGGTTCATTTATCCTGACTAATAATCAATACAAATTTAATTTAAATATTCATAGGATGAAAAAAATGGAGTAAGATGATAAAGTTGAACAATAGATTTTATATATTATTATGAGATTATATTATTTTAAATAATAATTATTTCACTTCTCTATTATTTCTTATGCGTGTTACCACTAAAATATTAATCTAAATAAATGAAGATATTAAGATGGAAGATAAATCAACTATTTTTAGAAAAAAATATTTATCAATTTTAATAATTATTTCTGATTTAAAAATCATATATACTTGCCAAGTTTATATATTTATACATATAAATATATAAATATTTATCTCAAATATCTTAAAATATAATTAAATTGATAAGTTGATAAAACAAGACTTTAACAATCTTTTCTTTATATAACATTTTATTTGGAAATAAGTTACATTTAAAGTTATTGGTATAACAACATTACATAAACCAAATACAATATTGGTTTGTCTATTATTAAAATTAACTCATGTTGTATGTGTCGCCCAATAAAATTTTATTATTGATTATAAAATAAAAAAATAAAATGAGTTTATTTTTTAAAATATATGTTGTAATGCTAAGCAATTCTAATTTATAACCTATATTTGACTCAAGGTTTTTGTTGGACAAAAACTTAAAATAAGAATTAGCTACCAAAGTCTAAACTCTCTTTATTAGTTGTATATATGCAATTTACATACAATCCGTTTTTTGTTTTCTATATTGAAATATACATGGGAAAGTAGATATGTTTTAAAGATGGACAACATGTAGAAATATTTACCTAAATATAAATTAGAATAGGGTAATGATCACAAAATATAATACAGCGCAAATTACCGTAAAAAGATAAGTTGGATAATAGTTATTTAAAAAGTTATGATCAAAATGCATAATAAATACTAATTGAACTTTAAAACAATTTATATCATATAAATGTTGTAAAAATAGTGAGCAAAATTGCACATTCCTAATAATATGATTATTTGTTTGTATTCTGCTCTTGTTTTTAATGTTTGAAACATGTCTAGTCACGCGCACAATAGAAACATCTCAGATCGCATGGCCATTTCAGAACCTTTACGACCAAGTAGTATAAAGTTGGATTTTTGTCTATCAATTCTAACAAGAATAAGAATCTTAACAAAGTAAAAAATGGACCTTTTTATATGGGTAAAGGATAAACAAGACTAACCTCATGAAAGAACATTCTTAATACTCAAGCCGAAAATATTCATATGCAAAATGTATGTATTAGGGAGGCTTGTCAAAACAGAAAAACAAGTTTCTATATGTCAAGATTTTGGAACGATCTGTTGACATACGAGAACATTCTTTCTACCTTGCGTTTTCATGAGAATTTCAGTAATAAGTAGATTCAGAGATTCACAAGAAAATCTCGAGCAATTTTTCTGACAAACATAGGCATGGCAAGATTTAAGGGTGAAACAATGACCTAATATCACATTATATACTCGTTTTCCTCGTTAAGTCAAGTCGCTGCCCCTGGGATTATGTCTTCTTTACAATTCAGCCAATGTAAATTGGATCACACATAAAAATTTCCCATATACAATTATATGAAATCCTTCTAATATACTCATGCAATGTAGTTTAACGAGATCAATGATGAATTTTATATATCTTATTTTTTAATTTATTAAGATGTCAGATACTATTATAATAAATTAGAGTTTTAAAATAAATAATGCTTTTAACGTAATAATTAATTATACAATAATATTATAATATATAATACTTTTGACATCACTATTACACATGAGATACTTAAAAAATATCCTCATATTATTTATCTCGATTATTGTATAATTATAGATAGCATAATATAAAAATATGATTTTGTATTAATATATATATATATATATATATATATATATATATATATTAGATGATTTTAGGTTGAAATACAAAGAATTCACATGAATTATCTGACATTATGTTATGTATTAAATAAGATATTATATTTTATTATTAAAGAACAATTTCTTAAAAAGAATCTCATAAAAAAAAAACTTTATTTCTCTGTTTAATTTACATCCTGAGTTTTTACTGTGCTAACTTATTAGCGTTAACTTGTATTCTTTACAAATAAATGATTATGTTAAATAAAATTAAATAATTAAAATTTTATTTGATATAATAAAATAAAAACTCAGTATCATAAATCCAGAAGTGAAACTAATTAATTTTGATTCTACCAAATGTACTCTAAGTAGGGAAGAAATATATGGAAATTTTCCTAAGATATTTCTGATTACAATGAAAGTAAGAAGTAAAGTAATATGCTACACAATTCTTAGAGATGCAATACGCAATATAAATACAAGTGTATTGCCCTGCAAAGCCAATTCCTTTTTATTTTCTGCTCTGTATCTCTCCCCAATCCAGTCCCAAGAGAAAGAGAATTATGGTGGGTTTTCTTCCCTCAACCTCTTATTGCACTCTTCTCCCCTCTCTTTATCTGTCTCTCTCTTCTTCATAGTTACTTTAATTACTTTCTTTGCAAATCTCATGAACAGGAATTAGAGCAAAACCAAGTACTAACCAGATGGGAAGGCTACGTGAACTGGAGGAACAAGCCTGCTCTTAGAGGCTGTCATGGTGGCATGCTTGCAGCCACCTTCGTTTTGGGTTTGTCCCAGTGACTTTTTTTAATCACAGTATTAAGTCTTTACAACTCATGATATGAATCACATAAATCACATGTTGCCCTAAGTGCAAGTGTGTGCGTTTGTTGTGTTTGTGCAGTGGTGGAGATATTGGAGAGTATGGCATTTGTAGCCAATGCAAGCAATTTGGTGCTGTATATGAGTCGGTTCATGCACATGTCCCCTTCACAATCTGCAAACAATGTCACAAATTTCATTGGAACGGCCTTCCTCCTTGCCCTCCTTGGAGGGTTCTTATCTGATGCTATTTTTATCAAACCTTCCTCATTAGTTCAGTTTTTGAACTCCTGGTACGTTCCTCCACCACCATATATTTTCCTTTTTTTTCTCTGCATTCACTGTAATAAGATCGAACATACATCATCGATTTTTAAAAGATTTTAAAAAGAAAAAATAAATTTTTCTATCCTTTTTATTCTCTTTCTTTTTGCTGGTTTCGCTCGCGCGCAGTTGATCATACAAAACTTCTTGAGCTGCATGAGTTCAAACCCCACCAAATTACTTTTCCCTTGTTCTATGGTTTGCATGTGTTACAAAGTAAACAAAAACTAGAAACGAAAAATCTAAGACATGCAAACTTGCAATCCCAACGGAAAAGGGAGAAGTGAATTATAAAAAGGATGAAATTTTATTTTTCTATTTATGCAAACTTTTTTATATTTTTTCTACTTTCTATATAATTAAATAAAATAAAAAAAGTTTACAAACACATTGATACGGAAGAAACTATTTTTCAAGTACAAGTGGAGTTGGACGGAAACAATTATACATACACAAATAATTTTTTTAATATAATATATATCGTTTAAAGTCTGACTACATAAAAAATAATACGTTATTAATTTTTTTTAATAATACCTTTATATTTTATTATTTTCTTCTAAAGAAACACTCTTAATAACTTATTATCTCCTCCCTTAAAAAAATAAAAAGTATAATTAGTAAAAAAATAATTAATATAATCTTAAATTTCATAAATGATAGATAAATACAAATAAAATTTATAAAAATTTTCACAATTAAAAATAAATAAAATATTATATTTTATACCTTTGGATTGATAATTACTAGTAAATATAATTTAAATTAAAAATAAACTGGGTATGATGGAATTTGTATAAATTTTTAATAAAATTAAAAAATACTTATTATATTCTTTATACTTGTGCATTAGTAAAAATGTGACAGATAAAAAGGATTGGAAATATTAAATATATTTGAGGAATAAAAATGGATTTTAGTAGTGTTATTATAATGATTATTTAAGTTTATGTATCCTTTAAATGATGATTATATAATTCATTTATTATATTTATGAATCTTAACTGTATGTATTGATTACATATTTTAAATTTGATAATCGGTTTTAATGGTGCTATGAATAATTATCTGTGTTTATGCATTCATTTATTATATTTATTAATTTTAAATTCCTATATTAGTTACGGCTACATGTTGATATATAATTATTATCTATTAAACTATTTGAGTTCATGAATTCAATAGTTATACTCTATTTCTTTTTGACAATTATTGTTTTTATTTAACTTTTATTTTTAAATTTCAAGATGACATAACTGCTTTTTCATTGTCGATATTTTTACTTTTCATTTGATTTTTAATTAGTTTGTTTATTTATGATGTAGAAATAAAAAGATCAAAATAAAAAATCAATAAAATATATTATTATTTTATTTCTAAAAAGAAAAAAAAAGTTCAACGACACTTAAAAAAATATGAGATATTAATTTATTTATTATTGGAAAAAATTGGTCTCTAACAAAACGATGCATGGTCATAAAAAAGCTATACATTTAGAAAGTAACTTCAAAAAGGAATACATTGGTGTTATATATATATATATATACATAAAATTCAGAATATTAATTACATATTTTAATTCCTTTTGACAAAATCTTAAACATCATAAAAAGATCGATCGAATAATTAAAAAAAAAATAGTATACCTATAAAATAAAATAAAATAAAATAAAAGGTATTCGACTTGAAATTGTTGCTTAATTTTATCATTTATGAATCGTGTATATTTTTATTCATTTATTTGTAATGTATAAATTTAACACTACAAAAAAACGCTTATTATTATCTACGGGTAAAATCCGTAGGTAATGACAAAAACCCGTAAGTAATGTCACTCGCTGGAATTACCTACGTATTACCTAGGACCCCCTCCCCTTTATATTATATTTTTATTATTTATTATATTTTCGGAACTTTGAATTATTATTAGATTAAGGGAATTGTTATTGGCAGGATTCAAACCCAAGTACTTCGAAGTTGGAGGCCGATACTCCAACCACTAAGCTATTAGGATATTTTGATAATAATTTACAAATAAATTATATTTATATTTATCCAGTGTAAATATATAAATATAAAATATATTTATATTTTGATATATTTATATATTTATATATTTGTATTTATATATTTATATTTTGATATATTTATATATTTATATATTTGTATTTATATATTTATATTTATATATTTATATTTATATATTTATGTATTTATGTATTTATATATTTATGTATTTATATATTTATATATTTATCTATTTATGTATTTATATATTTATGTATTTATGTATTTATGTATTTATGTATTTATGTATTTATATATTTATGTATTTATATATTTATGTATTTTATATTTATATATTTATATTTATATATTTATATATTTTATATTTATATATTTTATATTTATATATTCTATATTTATATATTTATATATTTACACGAATAAATATAAGTATAATTTAGTTGTAAATTATTATTAGAATATCCTAATAGTTTAGTTTGGAGTATCAGTTTTCAACTTTAAGGTACTGAGTTCGATTCTTGCAAGTGACAGTTCTTTTAGTTTAATATAATTTACCTATGGATAGTAATTCCGTAGGTAAATTACCTACTGAATTACCCATGGATGACATTACCTACGGATAATATCCGTAGGTAATGGATAATTACTCACGGATAGAATTCGTAGGTAATATCATATCTCGTAGGTAATGTACAATTTACCTACCGATTTTCATCGAGTAGGTAATAGGCTTTTTTTTTAGTATAATAGTGTTAAAATTATTATTATTTTATCGCTAATTAATATAATATATTTATTTTATATATAACAAAAATTTATATAATATTTTTTTATGATAAATTAGTGGTTTTTGAAAATAAATAAATATTTATTATTAATTTTAATATCTTTTGAGTATATTGTAAATAAATATCTAATGAAAATATATCAATAAAGTTTATATCATTAATTTCTATTATTATTATTATTATATGTATTTTCAATTTACTACTTATAAATATAGGATGGTCAATTAGTCTAAATATTTATTTCTTTATTAAATAAATTTAACTGGCTATTACCTGCATATCGAACTACCATCAGGTTTATTATTAAAAAGTGAATAAGTGGAGAGAGAGAAATGTGTATAAAGTATCTTGATAAAAATGAGTTTAAAATTGCTTGGTGCCAAAGTTGAATTATCTTAACTTGAGTCCATTGTTACTTAAATAAACCGGTGAGTGAATTGGTGAAGGTACGAATTCACAGTTTAAAGGTTGAACTTGTTGAAATTCTTCTATATTAGATTGGTCAATAGAAATCAAATAAACAAAATAAATTCTTCTTCTAATTTATCATGTTGAATACAAGTATTTTACATGGCTAGGGGAACGGGAATTTATGCGTGCAGGGATTGATTTTGCTCACTGTACAAGCTCGCGTGCCTTCACTGATGCCAACAGCATGTGAGGCAGGCACCCCATGCCATGAAGTTGGCGGTGGAAAAGCAGCAATGCTGTTTGCTGGGCTTTATTTGGTGGCTCTTGGAGTTGGAGGAATTAAGGGGTCACTGCCATCACATGGTGCTGAGCAATTTGATGAGAGCACCCCTTCTGGAAGGAGGCAACGATCAACCTTCTTCAACTACTTTGTCTTTTGCTTGTCATGTGGTGGCCTTCTTGCTTGTACATTTGTAGTGTGGGTTGCAGACAACAAAGGGTGGGAATGGGGTTTTGGAATCCCTACTATAAGCATTTTTGTATCTATCCCTGTCTTCTTGGCAGGCTCTGCTACTTACAGAAGCAAGATCCCTTGTGGGAGTCCACTTTCAACCATTTTCAAGGTACTACTACTAATTAACAAGGGGTTCGTATGCCCTATTTTTGTAGATTTTCTGTTCATTATTTTTTTCTTGCATATATTTATTGAAAAGTTTATCTGAATGAATAAATCTATCTTAGAGGAATTTCTTCTTCACTCTGAATCATCATGTATGCTTCCTGGTTTTTTTTGACCAAGCAGGTACTAGTTGCTGCTTCAGTAAATGGTTGCTCCAAGAGAAACTCTAGCATACAGTGGTGAATACGACTTCAAGCCCTTGTAATCTACTACCAGGTAATGAAAACAAGGAAAAGGAAGCCCCAACAGAAACCCTCAAATTTCTCAATAGAGCAGTTGAAAAAAACCCGAAGTATTCATCACTAGAATGCACTGTGGAACAAGTGGAAGATGTCAAGATAGTGTTGAAAGGACTACCCATGTTTGCTTGCACCATTATGCTAAACTGCTGTCTGGCTCAACTGAACACTTTCTCTGTTGAGCAAGCTGCAACTATGAACACCACACTTGGTTCCTTAAAGGTTCCACCAGCCTCCTTATCAGTTTTCCCAGTGCTCTTCATCATGATCCTGGCACCAATTTATGACCTAATCATTGTCCCATTTGCAAGAAAAGTGACCAAAACTGAGATGGGAATCACTCACCTCCAAAGAATTGGATTTGGATTATTCCTCTCTATATCTTCCATGGCAGTGGCCGCAGTTGTTGAAGTAAAGAGGAAAAGGGTAGCCATTTACTCAGGCCTTGTAGATGATACCACCAAACCACTACCCATCTCATTCTTATGGGTTGCTCTTCAATACTTGTTCCTTGGTTCTGCTGATCTTTTCACCTTTGCTGGGTTGCTGGAATTTTTCTTCACAGAGACACCAATTAGGATGAGATCTTTGGCCACATCACTCACTTTTGCCTCTTTGGCTATGGGATACTACCTAAGTTCAGCAATCGTATCAATAGTAAACAGTGTCACTGGTAACACCTCACACAGACCATGGTTATCTGGGGCCAACCTTAACCACTATCACCTAGAGAGGTTTTATTGGCTTATGTGTGTGCTAAGTGTGTTGAACTTCTTACATTTCCTCTTTTGGGCTATCAGATACAAATATAAAGGGATAGGAAGCACAGCTGAAAAATGAAGAAAACGAACGGGGCTTTTCAAATTGTTTATGTGTAAGGCCTTAAGTTTACATGGCCATGGATCAAAATCTTCTCAAGCCATTGTTGTAGCTTTAGCATTAGCATGCAAACGAGTGGATTAGCAACTCCTAGCAGTAGAAATGTAATAACTAGCTGGAAAGGCAATTTATACCGAAAAATTAAGTTAATTTATTATATTATATATGTTTGGTCAAATTATAAATTAAAATAATTTATAAATGAAAAATGATAAAATAAATATGTTATGTAAATTTTAATTTTGTTTTATTAACGATTCATTTTTTGAGAGTACTTTAATTTCATTTTTTAATTAGTGTTAAATTCTAACAATCTTATATTTAGGAAGAAATTATTTAAATTATTTTTATTATGTATTTACTATATTGGTGTATTGTATTTACAATATTTCAGTTAAACTCTTTAAAATAGTATAAATAACATATTTTATATTCATTATATTTGTTAATTTAATAGTTAAAATATACTAAAGTATAAAAAATGTTTAGTTGACAATTTCATTTTATTTTATAATACCTTAAAGTGTGATAGTAATACGAAGGAACTTGAAGAAGGTTTGGATTGTAGCTCAGGAAAGGGTGACGCGCGTGTTGCGAACTGCGACTAGGTGAGAAAAACGAGAAAACTTAATTATTTTATCTAAACGAAGTTTTTTAAAACTTCATAATAATGTGTGTATATATTTTTTTAAGTTTAATAAGAATTTTATAATGCATGTATATTTAAGTTTAATAAAAAAATAAAAAATATAGTTCACACTTTGCTCAATGATTATTTTTAGTTAAGCTTTTTATTTTAATTATATTAACCAAATTATTAGATCAAACATTAAATGAATGAGAAGTTAAATTTTCAAAATAAGTAAGATTTACAAAATTCAAAACAAAATAAATAAATTTGTTAGAATAGACTTAATATTAACATATCGTTTAAATTGAGCTACGCTTCATATAGAGAGAGATTAAACATTTTATTAATCTCTATATTTTTTTCTTTATCTTTTATTTTGATCACATCATACTTATTATAAATTTTATATTTTCTTTTCTATCAATATATCATTAGGGTATTTTTCACTTTTCATAAATTTTATATTTTAAATAAAATTTTACTGAAATAGATAAGATTTAATTTACTTTTCATTTATGCTTATAATGCAAGAAATTCACACCATTCATAATAGAACATTGAAATAAAATGAAAATGAATGCAGAGAAGTGGTAAAGGTACCTCCTAGATTTTTACTTAACAATAATAATGGGCTGCATATAACATATATACTTTACAACCCACAACCTAACAGAGAAGCTAGGTTTTTTTTTAGGATGTAAAGACTCTTAAACCTTTTTTTATTGAATTATATATTAAATATTAATTTTAATTATATTTATTTATAGATTATATTAATTTAATATTACGGCTTGCAACGACAGTGTTTTGAGTAACAATGCATAATCCTCAATATTTATTTAATATGAAAAAAAAATTGTTAACAAAGTTTTGCACAGAAAATAATCCTCAATAAAATGACACTAAGGAAAGAAGATGTGAAACAAAATCCTGGAAAGCACACAACTATTTTCCTTAAAACCAAATTAAACGCCAATATGACGTAATTACCCCAAATTGAGGCGGGTTAGACAGGTAGGCAATGGCATGATCTAAACGGTGCGTTTGGGTGGTGGTTTATTAAGGAAGAAACTGTGTTGCGGGAGGGTGGAAGAGGAGTGTAGCAGAATCAGAATCAGATCGAGATTGAAGTTGGCACTACTCACAACTCCAATTCTCTCTCTGTTGGATCCTTCATCAGAGGTATCAATTCAATTTTCCTTTTCTTCCATCCTTCAATTCCTTCTTCACTTACACTCATTCCCTCACTCCATCCTCACTACCACCACTTATTCACTGAACCAACCAACCACCCACATTCACTTTCTCAAATTCACCTATCACCTAAACCCCCAGATTCCGATTTCCAGAGAAACACACACACGATGAATTTCCTGATGCGTACCACCACGCACGTGTACTCCGATAGGGAAAAGCCTTCGTCCACGACAGCCACAGCTCCGACTCCGACGACTCCAGAGCCCCGCGTCGACGGCACGTCATCTTTGGAGAGTCTCATCTCCGAGGACCCCTATGCCCAAGTCGACCACTTTGACGGAGGTGTCGATGGCGAAAACGGCGCCATCGCTTCCAATTCCAAAAACGACGCCTCCCTTTTCGCTATGCACTCTGATGTTTCTGAAGACGAAGGATGGATCACTATTCCTTACAGTATGTCTTCCATCGCTCACATCAACTCCTCTCTTCTTATTACTTACTTAAGGCAGCGTTTGGTTCATTATTCTAATGAAACAGGAAATTAGAGTGAGATCAAGGAGTGTGTTTTAGTTCTACTGAAAAGAGTGAGATTAGGGAAACTATAGCGTAGAACTTTACTGATTAAGTCTTGTTTGGACAAATTTATATGAGAAAAAAATTAGAAGTACAATGAATTGAATTTTCCCATATGTTAAAATCAACTGCGTATTTCAACTTTTATCGAAACTCTCTCGTTTAGCTTATTCAAAAAAAATTTATCATTTCTGTATTAGCAATGTTAACTTTTGAAAAAGTTATGTAAACATACTTCATTCTGCATTGTCCATCACTTTTTTGGTTAACGAAGTGACAAGTGAGATCTTAACATGAGTGAAATTGGAACCAACATGGTTTTTGTTAGCATTCGTTTTAATGTTTTAGGATTTAGTGTTAGGAGGAAACTGCTTTTTTTGTCTATGATAATTGGTGATGTTATGGGTAAGATTGTTATGCTTATGTGTGATTCATCTGATTTTGAATTTTGTTTTTATAGAGGAACTTCCTGAAGACTGGAATCATGTGTCAGATATGCAGTTCTTTCGCTCCCTAGATCGTTCCTTTCTCTTTCCTGGTAAGATCTTTCCTTCTTTGGTACATGAATCAGAATGTTTAAATGCCTGGTTTGGTCTCTGCCAGTTCATATGGGAAGTTGATAGGATCTAATCAATGTTTGGAATTCAGGTGAACAAGTTCAGATCCTAGTGTGCCTTTCTGCTTGTAAGAAGGATACGGAGATTATTACTCCATTTAAAGTTGCTGCTATGATGAGTAAAAGTGTCATGAGTCACGGTCATGACAAAGAAAATGGAAATGTTGAAAACAGAAATGATTTAGTATCAGGAGAAGAGCAATTGAAACCTAGTAGACAAGAGCAGAAAGAGGAAACCCTGGAAAAAGTGAAGATTAATCACCCGGCAGATGCTTCTGCTGGTGAATCCCTTTTAAGGATGGAGGTTCACAAAAGACAAACTGCATTGTTGCTACAAAAATTTGAGAATTCTCATTTCTTTGCCAGGATTTCTGAGGCTGATGAGCCGCTTTGGTCCAAACGAGGTTCTTCAGAAAAGTCCAACTCCTTTGAACTCAATGAGCAAAGGATCTCATCATTTGAAATTAAAGAAACTGCAAAAAATGCATCTTCTATTAGTGCAGTTATTGATAGAGCAAATTTTGATGCAACTATTTGTGGTGGAGTGGCAAGAAATTCAGTCAAGTGTTGTGCCCTACCAAATGGAGATATAGTGGTATGTGCCTTAAAATTTCGGTGATTATGGATATGATCATTCATTTTTTTTATCTAAAATTTTTGTATGAATCTTAAAGTTTGTCAGTCATATGAATGCTACTTTTCAGTTAAATTGGGGGTTGAGCCTTATGGTTTTATATTGTGTTTGGACTGGGAATTTTGAGAGGGTAATTCATTTCCATAGAGAATTTGAAATATTTTATGCCAAAATATGTTGATTGGGTAGGAATTTTAAATAATATTGAGATTTTAGAAATTTATGATATAAATTTGATTGTTTAGAATTAGATGATTGTATTTCACCTAAAGGTAAGAATTCAAAATTCTTCGTAATCTTTCCTCTCTTCAATAAATGTTTCTTCTATTGATATTGGGACGTCATCAACTCATTGTTTTTTAGACTATGGTGGTAGAGTTTTTCTCAGAAGTAGATCGTGAGTACTTTTCAGTCAAATCTCTGGGGTTATATTTTTGTCAATGTAGGTCAGTGAATTTCTCAATCAACGTAGTCAATGTTTTCTTGGTCGACAACAATAGTGTCAACCTACTATTTTCAAATACTAGTTTCTTTAGTTGACGGCAATTGGGATTATTTTAGCTTATGTTAATTGGAAATTTTTTTTGTCCATTACATTCATGGTTATTTTTTGGCCAGTCTAGGTTGGGGTTAGCTAGGTTTTCTCGGCCAACATTGGTAGTGGTAGTTTTCAATCTATGCCAGCCAAAGTTTTTGCATCAATGTCAATGAGACTACTTTTTTGATGAAGTAGATCAGGTTTTGTTAGTCAATATTGATGAGAGTTAATTTTTTGTTTACATTTTTTTTTGGATTATTTTTTCGTCAATGTAAGTCAGGGTTATTTCTAGTTAGGGTTATTTTTCAATTGATGTGAATGAAGTATTTTCAGTTGATATCTGTTATGGTTATTTTTTATGTTTGCAAATATTATTTTTCATTCGACACCACTAGTGTTTTTTTTGTCCAAAGTTGGTTGGAGTATTTTTCTAGTAAACTTTTAGACAATGTCAACAAGAGGGAACTTTTCAGCCATTGCTTGGAAAGTTGGCAAAAATAAAAAAAAAACCAACAATGACATTGAAAAAATAACCCTGATCAATGTCAGGTGAAATAATTGTGCCCAATATCAGCTGAAAATATTTTTTATCTATTTCAATCGAGAAAAATGCTTGTCAACATCAACTTGAAAAATCTTGACCAAATGTGATGCTTGTAGAGTATTTAAGTGACTTAGTTCTCCCTCCTTAACAACAGCTTTTAAGGGAGGGCTTCCCAAGTGCTTGAGTGCTTATCAGTTCTTAAGCATCTTTGAAAATCATTTAGTAAATGTGTTTAAAATCCTACTGCATCTTTATAGATTTGTGCTGAGTTTATTCCATGCTCTGTTTTGATTCTTCTTGTAACAGCATTATCAATGTTTACGATATTTATATTTCTCTGGGGCATTTGGAGCCAAATATTTCCTTGTGGTACTTGGCTGTTGCCGATTATATTGACCTGTGTAATTATCAATATTTAGATTTCTGGAACATATCTTTTGTGATGTAGAGGTATTGCTTCACTATTGTCTTTCACTAGCTATTACTGGCTAGAACCATGGTCTCTCATCTTTATTTTACTTGAATTCTTGTTAAATTTCAAATATGTTTTAGTGGCATTTGCCTAGCCTCTATAATACCTAAGAGATCTTTATGAAAAATTTTCATGTGATATCCTCTTAATTATACCTTCCATTCTCATTTACTTAGATTACTGATCTGATTCCATTTTCCTGTTTGGAAGGATCCAGGTTCTTTTACAGGTGAATGTTGGTGTTGATTTTCTTAAAGACCCTTGTATAGAAATTCTCCAATATGAAAAGTATGAGGAGAAAATATTGTCTTATGATAACCAGGACAATTCAGTTCACACACATCAGGATCCCTGTGGTGCTCTATTAAGATGGATACTTCCATTAGACAACACTCTCCCTCCTGCTTCTCATTCGATACCTCCTCCTCAGTTTTCTTCAAATTCAGGAGTCAGTAACACCTCTCAGAGGTCCAATGTTTCAGCATCATCTGGCTCTCAATTATTTTCCTTTGGCAGCCATTTTAGAAGTTACTCCATGTCAGCATTACCCCAAAATACAAATCCACCAACCGCTCCTTTAAAAGCAGCTAGTTCTAAGCCAAACTTTGAAATTGAAGATTGGGATCAAATCTCATCTCAGAAATTTTTAAGGAAAAAAAATGGAGTTGAACTTTTATCTTTTCGAGGTGTCTCATTGGAGCGTGAAAGGTTTTCAGTTTGCTGTGGATTAGAAGGTATCTACACACCTGGAAGAAGGTGGAGAAGGAAATTTGAAATAATACAACCAGTAGAGATTCATTCCTTTGCAGCTGACTGCAACTCAGAGGATCTTCTGTGTGTTCAGATAAAGGTTTGAACTATAATTCCATTGAACCAAATTATTTGGCATATTTGCCTTTATTTTTGTTGAATATTACTCCTTCATTCTTTTTGTTGAAAAATTTAAGTGTGAGTCTAAGTCTCACATTAGGTAAAAATGAGAAAGTTGAACAATATATAAGGAAATATGACTCATAACCCAATACCTTAAGATTTTGGGTTGAGTGGTGTCAATTCCTTATGTGAGTTGGACTCATGTCTTATTGGTGTTGTTTCTCCCTAGTGAATCACTCTTGGAAGATCCAACACTTTTTTGGTGGGGCATTTATACTTTTAACTATTTTCATCTTATGTTTATTAATATTTCATAAGTTGTTCTCCAGAATGTTGCTCCTGCACATGTTCCAGATATTGTGATATTTATAGATGCCATAACAATAGTTTTTGAAGAGGCTACAAAAAGCGGACCACCATCATCATTACCAATTGCATGTATTGAAGCTGGAAACAACCATTCTTTACCAAATTTAGCCCTCAGGTTTTTGTTTTTTAAGTTATTATTATTTTTTTTTTTTTTGTATTGTTACTTATCTGATATCATGCTGCATACAACCCAGTTTCAGTTGCATATGCTTGTTCCATAATGCCATGTAAGCTATCCATGAGTATGTGAAAGTGGCTTTAATTGTGTCACCTATAGCCCACCTTAGTTGTAGCCTTTTTGGAGATTGTCTTAATTGTAACCTCTGGGTGGTGGTTTAGTCTCACATGAATGAATAATATGATTAAAACTGAGTATATACGGAAAATGCAAACCATGTTTTGCAAGTTAATTGTGTAGGATTTAGTTAGACCCTAAATCTAATTTCCAAGATGGTATTAGAATATAAGATCCGTTGTTCAGCCACTAGCAATTTTTGCCATGCTTTAGGTTGGAAGTCTTGGACGTAAGGAAAAGTGTTCCTTAATTGCATCATTCTCTGTCAGTTTTAATTGCAGCCTCTCTAGAAGCTTCCTTAATTGCAACCACAAGGGTGGTGGTTTAGTCTCACATTAGCTAGAGGTATGTAAATGTATATAAATGGTGTGCTAATCACACCTTACTATTCAGTTTGGTGGTGGTTGAGTTTTGACCCTAAATCCAACTGTCCCTAAAACAGGAAATAAAGTACATTATCCATTTAGATCCCTCTAAGATATTTTATTATTTACAATAGTATGGTTTAATACTCTGAACGTTTCTTATTGATGTGAAGAAAGGACTTAAATATTCTTCAGTCCCATGTGGGTTCTTGCTTTGGAAGAGTAGAAATGTAAAATTTCATAGTAACCTTTAAATTTTGTTTAAAAGATCATAACCTGTAAAAGCTCATGCTGCATGTGCCTCTGGTTATTCTGCTACATTAAATGCTTGTGCTTAGTGACCTAACCCAACCTGCAAAAGAGGGGGGGGGGGGATATTATTTCAAAATGCCATACATGTGTGTGGGTTCAGTATGCAATTGAGAACAACAATGTTAATGGTGAAGGAAAGGCCTTAAATTTTCTTTAGTACCATATTAATTCAAGAAAGGCCTGGGAATCTTGCTTTCGGCAGTATGGGGAAAGAAAGGGTGATATATCTGTGACCTTTGAATTTTATTAAAAAGTGCAATAACAAGCCTGCAATATATCTGTTTATTATTTTGATAATAATGTTGCACTACTATAGTTGAATTTTTATTTCTTATTTGACCATCATAATGGTGAATTGTTGGAGATGTTAAAGGCTATGGGAGGATAATATTGAGAAATCTTTTAATGTTTAGTAATAGAATACACTTCCCTTCCCTCGTGCAGATTTGGGGGAAATGCTTTTTAACTTTTGGACAAGGTAATGGATTGGATCCTGCCAATTCATTTCCCCCTTTTCAATAAAAGGTTGCTTCCGCTTGCTATCAGTTTGTACCTCGTTGAGTTTGAATCAATCTGATTAACTGTTAAAATTATAACGAAGATGCTTAATAGTAAATATGGATGGAGAAATTCAGAATTTGGTATATCTTTTATGTGGTTAACTCTAATAATCGTCATCTAACTAGAAGTTGCTGATTACAGGAGAGGTGAAGAACATTCTTTCATCCTTAAACCTGCAGCTTCAATGTGGAAAAATATTAAGGCTCAAGATGATGGCTCTCAGTTTTCAAAGTTGCAATCTCAAAATCTAGCACCAAAATCAAGTGTTTCCTCTAAGAGTCCTGACAGAACAAAGATCGCTTCAATTGGCAATCAGTATGCCATTATGGTGTCTTGTCGATGCAACTATACTGGTTAGCTTCTTTGCCTCCTTTGTTTGTTGTTGTATTGCCATTATTTAATAATTGCTGAGTTGTTTATTAGTTGTTTTCCCCTTGTTTTTGTGCTTAATATAGCATCAAGGTTATTCTTTAAGCAAGCAACCAGTTGGCGACCACGAACGTTGAGGGATATTATAATCTCTGTTGCATCCGAGATTTCAGGAGAGTCTCCTGGATCTTGTGAAAGAAATTCTCAACTTCCTGTGCAGGTCAATATATGTTTTAACTATTGGCTATCTTGAGTTGGGGCTTGCATTGGAGCTCATATTTAGTTTGTTTTGAATATTTATCCAACTTAAATTACAGTTTCATTGGCTTAATTGTTCCTCTTTTATCAGGTTTTAACTCTTCAAGCTTCAAATTTGACATCTGAAGATTTAACTTTGACCGTGCTCGCTCCAGCCTCATTCACTTCACCCCCATCAGTTGTCTCTCTGAGTTCACCCACCAGTCCAAATAGTCCTTTTATTGGTTTCACAGAGTTTTTAGGAAGGATAAATGGTGAAAGACATGTTGGTGCCACTCAGAGAGGGAGCTTTACTTCTCTTTTAAAAGAAAACGAGAAACAAGATGATGTCAGACCTCCGTCAGTTTCAATGAATGATGATGTCATCCCTAGTTCTGGCCTCAGTTGTACACATCTTTGGCTGCAGAGTAGAGTTCCACTTGGGTAATATGTCAGCTCTCATTTTTATTTCTATGACCTTGTTAAAAACTAACACTAATTAATTTAAAACCGTGTATTGGCCACGTCAGATGTATCCCATCTCAGTCAACAGCCACCATTAAGCTTGAGCTACTTCCATTGACCGATGGCATAATTGCACTTGACTCTTTGCAAATTGATGTCATGGAAAAAGGTACAGATCAGGAGACTTTTTACTTCATAACGCTTTACCCTAGCCAAGATTATCAGGTCAATACAGTATTGGATTAGTGTGAAGATGAACTGTCTAAACGTCTGTTAATTCTCTAACTGTCATGATTTTTTTTTAGAATCGCTAAATGAGCATAACAGAAAATTCCAACTAGGCCTAACAATTTTAGTTTTGCATTTTATAAGGTCTTCTGTTGGCTTCCTCTAGGTATGATATTTTTTTGCTAGAAGGTCATTTGGGTCCGTTTTATACTGTTAGTTGTTATGCTTGGGATTAGTCATTAATTTCTTGTTGTTCTCGATGATCATTTTAGGTATTTATAGATCTAAAGCATATGTTCTCACAAGTTTGGTTTATTTTGTGCATTCTGTTTCATTCTTCATCGAAAACAGTGTTCCTGCTCTGCATATAGTGGTAATCAAGATGCAAAATGCAAATTATGATATTGTTCAGATTCTCATGTATTTGCATTATGGTCCGAACAGGTGCTACCTACATCCCTGAGCGGTCGCTAAAGATAAATGCAACATCAAGCATTTCCAAGGGAATTATTTAAGATGGACTCAGGTTGGTTGCATATTAAGCATGCTATCCAGTGCAGTGGAAGCAAATATGGACGATCTGTTTGTCTGGATTTTGAATTGTTCATCCAACATACTCTCAATGGCATGAAGGTATCTTCCTTCCGTTATTCTAGCATTGTGATGGAGTTGGCGTGTTAATTTGTTCAGGAATAGTGGTTCACTTTGTATTTTGTAAAAACCACGAGCTTAAAATAGATTATTGTTACATACCCCTTTAAGGGGAAGATTGTAATCTTTATAGATAGATCGATTTTTTTGTGAAGATGTACTTGTCTCTGACTCTTCGTAGTGAAAGCATTCATAGCTGTAGGCAGCTGCGATTGGAAGCCTTGTATTCATGACTTTACCTTTTTATTATTTTTTTTATTTTTTTGAGAAGCTATTACACATGGTTGATGTGACTGCATTTAAATCGAGTTTTTTACTCTTTATTGTTAAGGGGCTTTGAAATTGCATTGCCTAGTTATGAAGAATGTTTAAACACTATTTCCCTACATTCATGAGTTGACTTCCCAAACCTGCTTTTATGGATAACCACTAGCTATTCTCTCTCTGTTGCGGACATATACAAAAAAATCTAGTCTCTAACTTGGTATGCTGTAATCTTAAAGTTATTGAATGTCGAGGAGTGTTAGCAGTGTCTTCTATGTAATTTTTTTATATCCCGAGACTTTATCATTTATAAATCTCAATCAATAGTTTTTAATTAGTCATAAAAATGAGTTTAGATTAGCGCGGTATTAAGTGTGCTGATGAACAATTTTAAATGCAAAGTGCATGTATAACTTTATGGTGTATGTTAAATACACCTTTGACCCGTTAAAGTTTATTTGACTATTATGTCAGATGAGGGGTGTAAGTTTTACTTGTGCTATCAAATATTTTGACTCCTTAAATTATCTACAAAACTTCGTTTATGGAAAGATGAGAAAGAAGCTTCATTATATTGACTTATATCTAAAATTTGTTTCTAGAGTTGTCAAACAATGTGGACCCAACCCAAAATGCCACTTGAAAAAATTACCCTAACTTCATTCGGCAAAAGGACTATATTTTTAAGTCTGGTTAGACTCTACATATAGACCATTTTGGCTTATGTTGAAATTTGAATACAATAATTTGGATATCTAAATTATTATTATTATTCTTAGGTCCTATATGTTAAATTAACAATGACATTTAATCATATTAACGGTATTTTAAGATAATAATATCTAAAAATTTGAAGAGTAAGATAATAAATATTCTTTAATAAAAAAAATTATTTTTGCTAACATTTGTCAAATTATAATCTTTGAACTTAGAAATAGATGAATTAATTCTCAAACTTAAAAAAAAAAAAACTAACCGTTCCCTCAACTTTGTCATAATAAAAATTTATCACTAAATTATGAATAAAAAAATATTAAAATCATATCTTTAAAACTAGAGGTCTAAATTCATCAATTCTAAAACACAAAAAACTAAAGACGAATTTGAAAAAAAAAAAGCCACATGAACCAAAGATATATTCTTCCCTATTTTATATGTTCACCAAAGTATTTTTTTACATGTTCACCAAAAAATATTGACTATACAGTTTTTTCATGGACGCATAAATGAGAAATGTGATGCTAGGAGTAAAACACATGATCTTAGAAAAAGGGGAGGATAAACAACATAATCAATGTACCACTTTACACATGTGACATCCTAAGACAAAGTACTGCATATATCACTATTTTACTAACCAGCCGTTTTACGAACACATAAAACAAGATTAATTAATTTCGTGATGGATAGAGATGATAAATGGGTTCTCGACTAATTGGATAAACCTTAAGCACTTATATCACACTCAAAAGAAAGCAACGATATTCAATTTTAACTAAAAGTAAGTAAAAATGAGTCATCAAATTTACAACATTTAATTAAGACGCAGAAACAAGGAAGCAGAGCTGAATGAACTGCGCTATACAATGCATACGTATAACATCGGTAAACACAGAAATATTGAGTTCCATATATAGACAGGCAAAGGCACAAGAGATATATCACTCAATGCTCCGATTTAACCCTCACATCTCCATTTGGCAGTGCACTCTGTGCTTGTGCCTGACGTTTCAACTCCTGCATGGATGCAACAAGGCCAAGATCAAGATTAATGTAACGAACAAAAATATATAATATTTTTGCAATATCAGTACTGTTTTTCAAGCTTCCATTTAAAATAGCTATTAAATTAACCATGCAATATACAGTGGAAAAAGTGCAGCAAAAGCCAACCCCAAGGTTCTTTAAATTGAGTGGGATTGGTTATTTTTAAGAATCCTAATTTGAACGGTTAAGGATTAGATGAGGATTGTCAAAGAACCTACTAATTGTTTTCCCTGAATAAAAAGCGTTCAGAAATAATGTGTATTATTAAGCTCATCATAAACTAAAAAAAATCTCTCTTGGCTGTATTATTTGGTATTCTTGGCAAAACTTGAATTGAAGATAAGCATCAAAAGTAAACTTTTTCGGTATGTGGCACAACAGCCATAAGGAAAAAAGAGTAGTGAAGTTAAAATACAGAAAGCAACTCAAGGAAAAAAGAGTAGTAAAGTTAAGGAAATTGAGATAATACATAAACCAGTTTGTTCCCATCACACAGGAAGAATAGTAGTAAAATTAAAATACAAAAATGAAGACATCCAAAGATCCTACAACGAACTTGAAGCAAACCAATGACATAGCAAGGTCATTTTAAAGCTCTGTTCCTCAATGAAATCGAAGACAAAATAAGAAATACTTACTGCAGCTGCTGCGGCACGACTCTCTCTAAAAGTTTCAACCTCATCAGGGAAGTTCTGCTCCAATTCCTCTAAAAGATGTTTACGCAAACTCTGCCCCCACAGAAATGCTAGGTTAGACTAAAGCTGCTTATTAAAGATACGGGGAGCAAAACTGCAAACAGAGAAATTCATATGCAATGAAAATCAAGAGTAAGAATAGACCTTTAAGGCGTCAGTTTTTCCTTTGGTGATCTGATTCTTTGCAATACAGCTGTTTATAACATCTTTAGTAAATTCATCTGGATTCTTCCCATCATCAATTAAACTAAAGCCAACAGTTCAACTCAAATGAGAAAAATTAGAAAAGAGAACTTACAGTAGGTCAAAAGAAACTATAGGAGCACATACAAAGGTAAATCACTCACTTGACAACCTCCATAGGAACCTGAATGTTGCATTTCTCTGCCAATTTAACCATGTTGTCAAGCTCTACAACAAGGCCATTACTGGGATGTTTAAAGTAAAATATTATCACTTCTGAACATGAAGTAAAAGTAAAACAAATAAAAAATGCATTACAGGAAAAGAATTAGATAGAAATACATGCGCTGGAGAAGAGGCATTTGAAAGGCAGCATTGAACGTAGAAACAGTGAGGTAAAGCTGATGAATAAGGCCCAACGTTTTCTGAATTGAGTTGCTGACCTGGTTCAACTTCTGCATAGAATCATCAGCTCCAGCTGCAGAAGTTGCCATGTCATTATTTTGAGAAATCAACGTCCCATTTCCACCACTCCCACCATTTCCCCCTAGAGCTGTGCCTTGTGATGAATCCATTTGTATTTTCCTATACACAAAATGTTTCTGAAAAAACTTCAATCAAAATGCATAAAACTAACAATGAAAGGGCTACAGATTTGAAAAATTAAAATCATGCATGAGGATCTTCTGATACAAGTACGATACCAATGACAAATTGTACTTTCATCAACTCAACTACATGAAAAGAAAAAAAATGTTCTACTAACGTTGGACATGATGCATTAATTTGAATATAATCTCAAATTAACAGGCACAAAACTAAACCCTCATCATCAGGTAAAATGGTGAAACACAAACACAAAGAAGTAAGTTGCATTAACCGAACAAAAGTTTACACCTACAGATTCTTGTGTACTTGAAGAAGACCTAATGATGGCGAAGGCCAGACACAGCAAGTTGTGAAGGTGGGGAAAACTTGAGAGTGAACTAGATCTGTGGGACAGTGCAAAAGAGACATGAAAGTTAAGTGATGAAGATACTTGATACATCTAAATACAAAATTTAAAAGACCTCTTGGGAGTTTACTATAAATAAAAGTATAAAACTATAAAGTGTTGGGGCTAAATGATGGCAACCAATTAACAAGGCTGCAATTATAAGAAAATCGTATAATTCCTCTCCTTTCCCAGCCCCACATCTCCAGAACTTTAGGTTTTATTATGCAAGTTGATATAACTTTACAAGTATATGGGTTGGACATAAATACATCTGCAATATCTACATTCTATAGAAAAAAACGATAGTTTAACAATATGATCTTGCTGTGCAGCAGTGTTATCAAGTGCTGATGGTGGAAAATAGTGGCACGCCAATAATCCACTATCTCATATCAGATAAAATTGCAGGCAAATACCGGAGGTCACATAGCAATTGAAATATGTGATATATATTAATTATTTATATATAAAGTTTTTAAGTGCTATGCAAATAAAATTAACATAATCTTAACTCAAAGTTCAATTGGGCGGAGATTCATCAGAGATGAAAAGAGGATGCAGGATGTGCGTCGCAACCATGACACCCATAGAGACCACAATGGATGGCTGATGTAGTCACAATTGTGGATCTGAGAAATTCCAAAATGCAATGGTGCAATGGTAGCGTCATTGCGGCTACTTAACAACACTAACTGCGTAGTTGGTTCAATTTGTTCGGGAGAAAACAATTACTTGTTTATAACTTCACAATAGAAGTTTTGATCATTATTTCTCAAAAAAAAAAAAAAAAAAAAATCTAGAAACCAATCACTCTGTAATGAAAATAATAATAATACAGTGGTCTTCTGAGCTTGTTCCAGAACTTCCAGTGAATGTTACTACATTCTATTTCACAGCCTTCACTTGTTACTGAAGTGAAGCATAAGGGAATACAAATCCCAATATTATAGAGTAAATACTAATATATTGGAATCAAATAGTCTACCCGATCCTCATAATCCCTGTCAAAAATTGTATGGCATGGAAATTGAACAAACCCTTTTGCCCAGCCCAAAGCTCTGTGCAATGCAATATCTGCTCAATTTGGTGTAAGTGGAGCATTTAAAACTGTTAGTGATAAATGGTGCCGGTCTACTTTCTTATTACAAGATCATCATTCACACGTTACCCACGTCCTTCATATTTGGTTACTTGCTTACACCCAAATACAATACCCACTTTCTTCCTCAACTCACTCACCTCTAATAAAAAGTATCACAAAGGTGATACCTTTGCCGTGTCTCATTCCATCAACTCACGCGGAATGACCCCAACACAGGCTAGGGAAGACTCCAACAGGGTCAATTTGACACCCAGATCGACCAAACGTTGTTCTTGGCCTTCTCAATAATACCCTTATGCCTAAACTCAAATTCTTCAACTCTATTGGGGTTTCCAACACTGAAATGCCTCTTGGAAAACCGAACCTCTTACGAAAGAGAAAGAAAAGTATTTGTTTCTTTAAAGAAAAGCATATGGTACCTGAAGAAATGAAGGTGAAAACTTTGCAGAAGTTGGTTCTAGCTATTATGGTGGGTCGACCTCTGAACTCGAAGCTGCTTATATCGTGTATGATTTGGTTCAGATAATTCAGAGATCCAAAAGCGAATAATCAAAGTATAAATGGGGAATCATATGAATGAGAACCTATGGGCCTGAACCTGAACTCACCGTGGACAAAAGAAAGGCCTCTCGATTTCTACATTTTGTATATTTTTATAATGGCATCGCTCATTATTTATTAATTTAAGTTATTTTATATTATTTCTCTATATTCTTAAAGTGATTTACAAATTATTTTTGGAAAATTAATTTTAGATTGATATTTATTAAAATAATAATTAGGAAGCATATTTTATGAATATTACATTTTAAAATTATAATGTCATTTGATTTATTAAATAGGTTAAATGTTTATTCTAGTTAAATAAATGTTTTAAAATATATAAATTATTTCAAGACTATACGTATTAAATTAATATATTTATTATTTAGAAATGAGAAATTGGATTGTAAACTGTTTGTCCAATTATTTTAAAATTTAATTAGAGATTCAGAGGTAGATTGAAAGAGGTAAGTTAAAAAGTAAGAGAGTTCTTAATCCTCGACTTCTTTTAGATAAATTTAATTTGTTTAATTTATTTTCACCGCTTCTTAAATCTTATTTTTTTGTTGAGATGTTAAATTTCCTCATGAATCAAATAAATGAGACTTTAGATTTAGATTTTTTTTTTATTGCTTAATAACTCATTAAGGGTTTTGTTTCCCAAAAATGTTTTTTTTACACCATATCAACTTCCTCATCCACTCAAATGGTAAAATTTGTTAAAAACAATTCTTATATGTTAAGAATTACAGATGGCATGAGATTTTATTCACTTATCTCAGTAGTATTGTAGCTTGAATCATAAATATAAATTAAAAACTTATTCAAAATGTTTCCAACTTTATCAAAAACTTTATTCATGATTTACATATTAAGAAATAATTTATTAAACTATAAAAATTTATACAAGATTAAGGATAAAATTAAAATTAAAAAAATTGAAATTGAAAAACTAAAACGACAAAAAAAATACAAAGAAATAGCACGACAAACAAAATTACAATTTATATATATTTTTTATTTAACCTCCAATTCGTTTCATCTGTTCTAATTTTATTTTATTCTAATTTAGAAATATTGAGAGACATTTTTCTATTAGAACATAACTTTTATAAATACTGTGTTATCAATCCAATGCACCTGAATCAAACAAAATAGGAAGATGCATATGTCCATGTTGAGTTGATTTGAAGACATACACAAAACTTGTATTTGTGGCACTCCTTTTCCTTCCCTCTATCTTTCAGGTAACAAAAATTTCTTCTTTTCTTCTTTTTCCTCTTAATTTTCTTCAAGTTTGGATTTATGGCATCGTATATCTCTCTATCGTCATCAATGTCTTTGTGTTTTCCCTCTTTCAATTAGATCTCACTTCATATCAGTTTTTCCTCTTTCAAATATTATGCTATCAATACCCTTCAATTGGCATGTTTTGCTTATTGAGGAAACAGTTGATATAATATAACAACCAACGTTCTGTGAGTATTTTTTGTTTCTTTTTGTTATTCTTTTGACAATATGATGTTCAGGGTTCCTAAAGAATAAAGATGGGACTGGCTCTGGGTTGTCTTCAAGTGGAGCAATCTACCGTAGCAATCAAAGAGGTTTTTGGCAAATTTGATGATGTTCTTGAACCAGGTTTTCACTGTGTGCCCTGGTTCTTTGGCACTCAAGTAGCTGGTTACCTTACTTTGCGTGTGCAACAGCTAGATGTTCATTGCGAGACAAAAACAAAGGTTTCTTCTCAATTACCAAATCGCATAATCAGCCAAATTAATTTGATTAGCTTTAAGGGGTCTTTGATCTCAGAATTGTATGGAAATGCACCTAAAATGTCAAGAGCTTCTACAATCTCGTATAATCATATTATCCCCATATGTCTAGTGTTTGCTGATTTTTATAATAGATAAAAGTTAGATGTATTGATATAAATTTTGTTGTCTGTTCTTTAATCAAATTAAGTTTCACCTCAATAATTTACATAATAAAATATCTATTAAATATCAATGCATATTATCAAAGTAAAACTCTAGTTCTAGTTAGAGAACAACAAGAACATTCATGGTACTGTACTACATCAATATTTTTACCTTTTATAAAAAAAAAGGGCTTAAAAAGTTACCTGAAGGGTTATTTTTAATTGACCTGAAGGGTTACGACATTCCTATAAGTTTTTAGCTTATTTTGAGTAAAGGTTATGAATAAATTCTTAACTACAAGCTCTTATATTCTTGCCCAATTGAGTTGTTTAACAAAGTCCTTTTGCTTTCATCATTTCCTATGCTTATCTGAACTTATTACATACCAGGACAATGTTTTTGTCACTGTTGTTGCATCTATTCAATATCGAGCGATGGCTGAAAAAGCGGCTGATGCTTTTTACAAGCTTAGCAATACAAGGGAACAGATTCAGGCCTATGTCTTTGACGGTGTTCATTTGTTATCTTTACAAACTCCTTTATAAAAGTTGGGTTTATTGGATTCTTATTCAGGAAAAAAACCATATCCCTTTTGCTGTTTCAGTTGTCCGGGCATGTGTTCCTAAGATGGATCTAGATTCCTCATTTGAGCAGAAGAAAGAAATTGCAAGGGCTGTTGAGGAAGAACTTGAAAAGGTGATTATTTTTTGTTGTGCGTGTATGTTGAGGAGTGAGGACTAAGAAGTTAGCATCCATATTGTTTGGTTTTTAACTTGCTGTGCATATGAAGGCTATGTCTGCTTACGGATATGAGATAGTTCAGACTCTTATTGTGGATATTGAACCAGACGAGCGTGTGAAGAGAGCCATGAACGAGATAAATGCTGGTATGATGTAATTTGCGTAGTATGCTTTTGGCCAAGCTCAAATGACTATTGTTTTTATACATGTAATTCGAAGGAATATTCATTTATAGAAATTAGTGTCATTAACCTGATTAGGTAAAACAAAATTTATAGTTTAGAAAAAAAAGTGCACCGGTATCAATGCCCCCTCAAATTCACTAGCTTTATTGCATTGGATAAACATCATTAGCTTAGGTCTTGTTTTGAGTAAATTCTTTGAAGCTTGGCATGTTCTTTTCTTTTATCTTTACCCTGTGCCATAATAGCTGCAAGATCGAGGGTGGCTGCAAATGAGAAAGCTGAAGCAGAGAAGATTCTGCTGATTAAAAAGGCAGAAGGAGAGGCAGAATCAAAGTATTTAGCTGGGCTTGGAATAGCTCGTCAGCGTCAAGCCATAGTAGATGGTCTGAGGGACAGTGTGCTAGCCTTCTCAGAGAATGTCCCTGGGACATCATCTAAAGATGTAATGGACATGGTTTTGGTGACCCAATACTTTGACACGTTGAAGGAGATTGGTGCGTCCTCAAAATCCAATTCTGTTTTTGTTCCACACGGACCAGGTGCTGTAAGAGATATTGCTTCACAGTTTAGAGATGGTCTTCTTCAAGGAAGTGTTGCTCGGTCTTGAAATCACGCATATCGCATTACTAGAACTACAGGAATCTTCTATCTTCCAAACTCTATCCACATGTCCATTTTAATTTTGTCTGACTTTTGAGTTTGAACTAGTTCGGTATGTTAATATGCCTTTCCATATCCACTGTCTTTTTATCCGTGATTTCTCTCGAAGTTGTGAATAGCCAAACATTTTATTGTTCTTCTTCCCTTTGAAATAAAAATAATGGTGTTCAAATTTGCTTCACATGTGGCTTATGCTTTTGTTTGCCCCACTGAAGACTCAGATTATGTTGACCAGGATGTTGCCTTCTTCATTCAATTTGGGGACGTATTTGAGACTAAAAAGATCATTCCTAGAAGGCTTACTTGTTAAAAGATCAATCGACAGGTGGTGATGGTTTGATAGTTTTTATAGAATTATAGATTAGTCCCTCAAATTATTTTACTTTAACAGTCCTATATTAGTCCTTTCGATGTATCATAATTTGCCACTTAATTCCTCTAAAACTGATCATTTTTCTTTGTAGTTCCTCTAAAATAAGGAAGCAACCAGAAAGAAAAACCCATGATAATTAGAAACCAGATAGAAAAAATTGAAAAGATGAACAGACTAAAGTTTCAAAAATTAGTTAAGCTTATAGTAAAAATAGTATTAGCTATTTATCAAAACTCTTCTGTTTCGGATTAGCACTAAAATCAATGTAAAAGACCCGATTATCAAGTTCAATCCTAATGGGGCATATCGAACTTGACCCTGACTATGCATCTTGGGAAGCAGATCCTCTCCTCTCCTGCGAAAGAAAACAAACTATGATTATTGAAATTTAATGATCGACTAAGATCCTCTACATTGGTAATACCGGTGCAGTGGATCCCATTCTCATGGATCAGCTACTTCCACACGGTGACCGAGGAAAGAAAGTAGACTTAATTTGATTTTGAAAAATAAGTTATACCAGATAAAAAATTTATCTTCTAAATAAAATTAGGTTAATTTTTTTACTACTAGAAATTCTAATAATTTCATGTGAATATTTTTATAAATTTTTTTATAAAAGTGGTAAGAAATAAGTTTTTCAAAAATTTTAATTTTTTTATAAGAAAAATTATAGAAAATAAATAATTTTTTAGTGTTTCTTCGATCTATTTAAATCATGGATTAAATGGATTTATGTCAAGATTAATCAATTTTATAAAATAATAATTATTTTTATAATAAAAATAATATTATTTTATGAGAAAATATATGAGTAATATATTAATTTGATAATATTATATATATATAAATATAATTTAGAAATAATAATAATAAATTCTAAACATAAATTTTATTTGTCTTAATCTTTTTTTTTATCACTATATTTGTTTTCAAAAATCAATCATTCAAGATGACATATTCTAAAATATAATGTATTTTCAAATTTCATGATGTGGATCTTAGGTTGGATAACAAGGCTAATTTATTAAAGTAATGCAAATTTGATTCCAAAATTTACTAATAGGGTTTAGGATTTATATACAAAAATAGTTTACTTCCAAAAATAAAATTAGGTTAATTTTTTTTACTACTAGAAATTCTAATAATTTCATGTGAATATTTTTATAATTTTTTTTATAAAAGTGGTAAGAAATAAGTTTTTCAAAAATTTTAATTTTTTTATAAGAAAAATTATAGAAAATAAATAATTTTTTAGTGTTTCTTCGATCTATTTAAATCATGGATTAAATGGATTTATGTCAAGATTAATCAATTTTATAAAATAATAATTATTTTTATAATAAAAATAATATTATTTTATGAGAAAATATATGAGTAATATATTAATTTGATAATATTATATATATATATAAATATAATTTAGAAATAATAATAATAAATTCTAAACATAAATTTTATTTGTCTTAATCTTTTTTTTTATCACTATATTTGTTTTCAAAAATCAATCATTCAAGATGACATATTCTAAAATATAATGTATTTTCAAATTTCATGATGTGGATCTTAGGTTGGATAACAAGGCTAATTTATTAAAGTAATGCAAATTTGATTCCAAAATTTACTAATAGGGTTTAGGATTTATATACAAAAATAGTTTACTTCCAAAAAAAATGTACAAAATCTCATTTATACTTGTAATTGGTTGCATGTTATGATCAAGACCTAGTATACTCAAATTAGTATGTCATTTGTTTACATTTTGTTATCAAGTATAAGTACAAAAGATGTTAATATTTTATGATTTTGTACACAAAAATTTTGTATAATGATATTTTATAATTTTATTTTGTCTAAATAAGTTATAAGTTAATTTTAAATAAATATATGAATAACATTGTTTTTCAAACAAAATTTTAAAAAATTATATAAATAAAAGATTTTTTATTTTTAATTAAATAAAAAATAACTCGTTAATATGATAATCTAACATAAGATTAAACTAAGCTTAAATTTTTAATTCATTTCAAAATATAGGTAAGATAAGACCAAACTAAATTAGAATTTCCAATTTAACCGCTTAATCCTCGAGTTTGTGAGATTTTCCCTCTCATTAAACGCATATCATATTTGAGCGTCAAAATATTGTAGGTACAACCCCGTTGTCTATTAAATAATCATGGAATTATTCTATTTCCATTTACAAAGCAACTGGAGCATTTTCCCAATTAAAGCATTTGCAAGAAAAACGATTAGATATTCAAAACAAGTTAAAACAATCCTCTGTTTAAAGGTTTAGCCAAGTGCTCCGTTGGTTTTGTGAATTAATTAGGGTCATTAGGGCGTAATGGAATGTAATATAATATTCCCTTTTCATCTCTCCCCGAACTTTCTTTATAGGAGGATACTTTTCCTATATCAATTCCGCAAGAAAATCACAGTATTAATATGCTTTAGTACTACTTTCTCTAGGCGCTTTCTGCCTCTAAGAATTATGTACCACACTTCAAGTCTTCTAGTTTGAATAGAATTTTATAAATCCCTGTGTAATCGGGTACTCGTTCATGTCGTTTTGTGTAATGTGTACACTTTAATCTAAAAATCTTACCCTTTGTACATTGATACATATAAAAACAAGATGTTCATTTTAAATACAAAAATAAACTAAAAATTACCAAACATGTAGTAGGTATCTAAATCAAAGCTTCGATACACACCCCAAATTTTGTTCCAGAACAATCACCTTTCATGCTCAAAAAACTTACGCATAGGTGCCCTTAAATCAATGACATTCGAGTGGATCTGTTAAATAAGTACAAATTGAAGTTTTGTTTGTGCTTATTGATTTTTACACTCGAGCCACCAAGATATCGATAAATTGATATAGCTCCAAAATGAAGGACGAAAGTTCATTGAGAAAGTAAAACCCTACAACTACTTATTCCTCCACCACAAGAAGCGCAGCATATACTCACAACCACCTAGTCTAAGGTTTCAAGGCCACAGCAAGACCAACCTTTGCACTCTTTCCGATGGCCCCGGTATCCACCTCCCCCACAAGAGAGAAACGAGTTCTTGGAGTCCAGTCATGCTGGATCAGAGCACTTGCCAGACCATAGTTGTTCACCCGAGCTTTCAAATGCGTTAACGGGTCCAGAGCATGCTGTGTACCAATGGTGAGTGAATTTTCGTTGCTAGAAAAGTTATGTGAAAGCTCCGCACCAACAGCAGTGTTAGTCAACGGGCTTATAATGTGGTAATATGAGGCATTAAGGGTGTCACCCTTATCATTTCTACATTAACAAAAAGGTAGAAATAAATCATGAGGTCAATTCAAGATGAATAACATAATATAGAAAACCCTCTCTAAAATTGGACATATATAGCCTAGGGATATCTCTACTTACAGAGTTAGAGATGCAATGAGGTCAGCATGAGTAATGTTCAGCCCTGCATTGTATTTGGTAAAGTTACCAGAGGCAGTATCAAATGAAAGATCTGTCCCAACAGCAACCAAATTATTTCCAACCACACCAGAGAAATTAACAATGGGATTTGCTGTCAATCCAATGCTGGTACTGATTCCAGCATACTCGTGCAGGTACTGGAGTTCCACCTATTAAACCATGGATAATGAGTAAATGTCATTATTCAGGATAACTGAAATATTGTTATTAATACCATTAAGTAATTATTAGAAAACAGAAAACCTATAATAATTTACAAGATAGGTCAAAGGAAAATGCTTTTCACCTTGCCAGACTTCTGATCTGGAAAAATAAAGCTGAAAATTGTCTTCAGTCCAGGTGCAGGCTCATCCACAGTAATGGTTGTACGTAGCTGAAAAGTATTCAGTGGGATGAGAAATGTAGCATGTGCCTTTAACTAGCTACTCATCGGATTTTGTTGCATGAGACTCAGTTGTACAATAGTCAAATCGATTACAAAGGATAGGCAGATTCCTAGCGCTATCATGAAAATGACAAGCATAATCACACAAATTACTCAACTAACAATTCTGCAAACCAATAATAATACATAAAGTGATTAACTAGTTATAAATCACAGGCAAAATAGTGTCCAGCTAACAATTAAAGAACTTGTTATTACATCCGACGAGTCTAAAAGAAATGGGTCAAGTGTTTTAATTCAAATTTATTTCACCAATAAATTTCTTAAACTCACAGTTGAGTTCGTGTCCACTTTGATGTCAGTTGTGATGTTCTTGTTCTTCAGCTTGGTGCTGATATCAGCCAAATAAATCTCACCCTTCCTGACTCCAGTTGAAGTAATCTCCTGAATATATAAGTCCAGGGAAATCATCAGTGCAACAAGACTTGAGCTATAACGAGAAACTATTAAATCCAGAATTCAAGCTAACAACAAATAATTTCAAACGAAAAGGCCTCAACTAGTTTCTTGAATGATTTTCAAATTTATATCAATTATTGAAAAATAAGCAAACAGAACAATCAGCAAAACTTCTAACTCCAACATTTTAAGCGCGCGTCAGACAAAATTCCTAAGAAAATGTACTAAGGCTTTTTTAAGGAAAATCAACGATAGTCCTTTAGACTTCGATTAGGCCAGGACGAATTCGAAATAAAAACAATACTTTTTTATCAATTTTAAACAATAAAATCTACCACAAAGACAAAATAATAAATAAATAAAATTACCACTCCAGTAGAAGTGTGAGTGGTGATGGTGAACTTGTGGTCATTCTGATAATCCTTGAACAGAAGATCTGAGTTGCAATCATCGATATAAGTGAAATATTAATGCAGATTAGAGCATAAAATAAAAAAAAATAAAAAAACCCTGAATTTACTGAATGATTTGAAAGGAAAAAAGGTTACCTCGAGCTCTCTTGCCGATATCAGTGTAGAGACCTGGACCTTTCACCATGATTTTGGCGAGAAAACTGAAGCGGGAAAGGCTATGGAAGAAGGGGGAAAAAATGTAAGAAGCGTTCGAAGAAGAAGAAAAAGAAAGGGAAAAGAGAAACCCTAATATTGGGGAGGGAGAGGGTGGAGCGGAGCCGTTGGATTAGAAGATGGAATGGTGAGCGTTGATTTAGAAGAAGAGGAAGAGTTGCCTCGAGAATCGGGACAAGAGTTGAGCTGGGAGCATATTCGTGATTCGTTTTCCGGTTGTCATTTTGTTAGTTGTTCAGCCTGTGCTACGTGTAAACTACAGAAACAAATATGTTTTTTTTTTCCAATTTTTTCTTTTTTATGAAGAGAGAAAATATTTAAGAAGTAAATAATATTTTTCTTATGAATAATTTTTTGCAAAATATACATAAAATTTTTTTAACCGTGTTATTTATGTATATAAAATATCATTAATTTTACAATGATTAATTTTCTTATCCTACCATATGTAATAAAGCATATTTTGTTCTAATTATAATTTTTAATAGACAAATTTAAAGTTCAATCTAATTTAATATTCAATTTCAATTCAGTAATTTTTTTCCTATATATAAATAAGTCTCCCAACTCCTATTTAGAAAATTTTTAGCTGAAAATTATATTCATTGATTCAACAATTAAAACATACTAAACATAGCTTTTATTAGAGGATAATCCTTATTATCAAGAGATTTATCGTAGTCAGTGGGAATATATACATAAGTTGTTTTGAACTCTTGATATATGTTAAAATTCTAACAAATGTGTTTCTGGTGAAAATTTGATCGATTTCGACTTCTTAGAGATTTAGGTTCGACCAAATTTCGACCATGTAGATTCTTTTTACTTAGGCTAGCAACTAGTTTTCAATCGAAACATGTATGAGAATCTAAAATTCCATGATTTCAAAAAATGTAAGCAACACAACTTAGTATGCAAATCGAAAGTACTATTTTTTGGTATTTTTCATTAAGAGACGTGAAGTAAAGAAAACGGTAAAAAGTGTCGAATCGAAAGATAGTGCAGAATATTAAATTATAGAGAAATGTAAAATGCGGAAACCTCAAATTTGCATTAAGTGTAAATGGCAAAGAATCGAAATTGCAGAAATGTAAATAGCAGGAAATCGAAATTGCAGAAATGTAAAATCAAGATTGCAGAAATGTAAATAGTAGGAAATCGAAATTGCAGAAATGTAAATAGCAAGAAATCGAAATTGCAGAAATATAAATGGCAAGAAATCAAAATTGCAGAAATGTAAATGACGAGAAATTGAAATTGCAGAAATGTAAATGGCGAGGATCTTAAACGCATAACCTTAACTTGCATAAGAGCAAATGACAAGGAATCGAAATGACAAAACTTAAAGTTTGACAAACTTAAACTGCAATGAAAGTAAATTACCAGGGAAAGTAGAGAAAGCGATAAAGATAATCAATGAAAACGGAAATCCAGAGCACTAGAAACTTCATGATGCATCGTTCTCCTGTAGACTGCTCACTTGCGCTTCTGTTGTCTCTGCCAATTTCCCCTTCTTCCTCATGCTTCATTCTATTTATAGGTCCTGCCTCAACGTAACCTCCTAAGAGCAGTTTAGAAAACTGCTACCATGTTCCATGTACACGTACGTTAACTATCTCTCGATTTTTATCTTAGCTGTGGCTTTGAGAAAACCGTTTCCCACTTTCCATGTGCGTGATAACCGTTCCTTTGATCTTGACCTCAACCATCGAGTATTTAAAACTATTTCTGGCTTTCCATTTAACTTCATACTCAATATCTTTCATCGATTTTTACTTCCCCATGATCATCGAATTTCCTGTATTTCTTTCGATTCTCGATTCCGATTCTCGATTCCAATTCTCGAATAACCATCGAATCCTCTCCTTTTGTTTCTCGATTTTTATGTCGATTTTTTACTAATAAATGCCCCCTCGAAAGAATATAATTTGTATCAATTTTATATTCTTTCGAAATAACTCCCGCCCTTTTAAACGTTCTCGGAGCTCATAATATCTTTTTAGGGTTTAGGGTTTCTAGGGTTTCTGGGGTTTTTAGGGTTTTATGTCAAATATCAAATCATATCCCATCTGCTGTCACAGCGCGCACGCCGCATTAATTACCCTCTTCGCATCCGTCGTTTCAAATACCCTAACTCGGCCTCTTAAAATACTTTTATCAGTTTTTACCTTTGTGTTTTTACCACGAACTTCATCCTTCGTTGCACTTCCTCATCTTCAAACTTTCGTCTTCCTTTTCTCTATCGACTGTAATGGCGACCTCCAAATTCTCTGATTTCTCCGCCCCACCACTTTCCTCAGTAACCTCCAACCTAATAGAGATTAATGGGAGAAATTTTGCTCCGGTTCCTTTGATGGAAGAAGCCTCTCAAAGGATTGCCGAGACCCAGGTACTTATTCCTTACGTCGCTGATAGTGTAAATTATGCGTTTGGTGGTCCTATCCGCTACTATGGCGGATCGTTTTCTTCTTCCCTCAGCCTTTCTTCAGAAAGTAAAGCTCTTATCCATCAGCCTGAGGTTCAAATTGATTTTCTAAATATTGTCTCCAAAGTATATCGAACAGGCCCTCCCCACAAAAAACCCTTGTACATTAGGTGGTTTGACCGAGTTAAAACTAATTTTGGGAACCATTGGAGAGATGTAGGGATCTTCGATTTCCTACATTTGTCTCGATGTGATCTGTCATTTTTAGATATGACTATGTTTTTATCTGCCGTCCATCTGTGGAATAAGGATTTACATGCATTGGAACTTCCTTGTGGCCCCCTTTCACCCACCCTTTTTGAAATTACTGCAATTACTGGATTAAAGCCCACAGGGGAGAAATATTATAAAGGTGCTTTCCCTTTGGATAATTCTTTAAGGTAAAAAATCGATTGGGAATCAAAGGCATATGGACACTTTCTCGAAAAACATTTTGTCGACGATCAAACAGTAGCTATTTCTAATGAAGAGCATGTGGCCTTCCTAGTGTATTGGCTTTGCACCCACGTTTTTTGCCCTCGATCCATCCAGATCTCGTCCCACCTTTATAATCTTGCCTATCTCCTCCACACTGGCCAACCACGGATTTGTTTAGCAAAATTGTTATTGGCCCATGTTTATACTTCTTTTGATGAAGCCGTCGATATTTTGAATGCCCCCAGAGCCTCAGGGAATTTTTCAGGTCCTATTTGGTTCATTCAATTATGGCTTACCTCAATCTTTGAAAGTATCCTCCCTCCAACCTCCAACATTCCCCCAAATTTAAATTTGGAAGGTGCTCGATTGTCCTCTCGACACCCTCACCACAAATCTGACGAGACTAGCTATCACAATTACCTAAGATTTTTATTGACTCGATTTCATTTTGAGTCAAACTTGGCCCCCTTCACCGTATATCAAGGGAAAGTAAGTGACAAGCTTCGAGGGCCGGTATGGTTTAAGTCAAAATTTCCTGCTCTTACTCCTGGGTTACAATCAGAATTGGTCGAGGTGTGGAGCAATTACCTAACCCAAGATGTTCTGGTATCGGGGTTTCAATCGAAGGATCTTCAACTCATCACTTATTATCCCCAGCTCTTCTCGCTGCAGTTTGGTTTGAGTCAAGCTTTACCCTTTTTCCCCCTCGATACCTCCTCAAGGTCCAAATTAAGTGAATCAACTGTTGGACGGGAGCTTGCCAAACTGTTGCCAAAAAACCCGATGCATTTTTACCCTTATACTTTTGAATCGAACTATTTATCTACTCTTGGTTTTTCTCAGTGGTGGACCGATTGGTTTTCAAATATTCATTCTAATTTTGACATAGTCCAATCAAAATTGACTGCTCGTCCTTCTCTCGTGTTGCAGGACAAATCGAAGGCGAAGAAAGGTACATACTCTCACTATCTCCAAATATCTCGATTCGAAAATTTTTATCGAGCATGCTACAACCCCTTGAAATTAGAAGAGACCTTTTATGATGTTGTTATTTCCTTAGTCAATAAAACAGACACTAACCGATCAAACCGCAAAATAATCAATCCTCGAGGCCAAACCCCATTTGAAATGTATTGTCTCAACCATCTTCCCATTTTCCCTTCAGCTCCTTTTGGACTCGTCAAACCTTTAACTCATCCTAAATGGGTTCGAGAGTTAAGATCCTTGAAAGAAACTCTTTCTCCCAAACCCAAGAATAAAGAAGTTTCGATATTGAAACTGTCTTATTTCCCTTACCTGAACCTTCCTCAAAATCTTCTTCCTCCCTGAATCGTCCATATCGACCGAGTCAAGATTTTAACTCCATCACCCTTTGGTGAGCTTTTATTGCCTCTTTTAGGAGTACTTTTAATTTTCTTCACATTGCAATTTAACTGTTTTTCTTTTTTCGATAGTTTCGAAACCTCATAAAACCGTCGCCTCCGAGAAAGACTGAGAGTCTTCGGACGAGTCGGATCCATCGGCCCCCACTCAGAAGCGCAAGCATTCTGCCACCATTTCTTCATCTTCGAAAAAATCGAAGGTTTCTTTTCGATTCCTTATTGTCTTATTTATTCAAATTTCTTTGTCTATAGTTGATTCACTTCTAATATCAGAAACAAAAATCAAAGAAGAGTCATCGATCCAATCAACCACCTACTATAAATCCGTTATCGACGGACTCTAACACGGTCAGCAAAGCGTGTTGACAATTCAAGGACTTGATGTTGCACTTGATGAATATGAAGAATGGATTTTGATGATGATCCAAGAACTAAAGACTTAGAATATTGAAGATTGAAGATTGGTGATAATTGTATTGTAATAACTCTGTTTTATTTAAGATTGAGTCTGTATTTTTAGAGTCTAAGATAGCCGGTACATAGTCTGTAACTTAGAAGCTTCAAAAAGCTCAAATTTATCATTTAGGCTCGGCTTTAATTGATTATATAGGTAAATAATCGATTAAAACAGTGAGAAAACACTTTCTATACAAACTCACTGTTTTAATCGATTAAAACAACGAAAAT